GTCAAATACTTTCAACTTTGGTTTCCTGTTTGGTGTCATGGCCTGGAGTATTTGACAGTTTGAGTTTTATTTCATTAAGCTCTAGGAACATGCCAATGTCAAATACAGTTATTTTGTAACTGGCCCATGGGTACTATGGTGTCGATTGTTGATCCCTATAGTCAAAGAAGCTGAAAATGATATGCTTACTTCAGCCTTTTTGTTGCTATATGATGCTTGTTAAACTCTCTGCATGACTCGATTGTTTTAGTAGTCTCTCCATCCTGTTGGAATCTAGATCTTTAAATCCATCATGACTGTATGTTTTTATAGTCTCCCAATGTTTATATCCTTAGAGGTTATTTAGTTGCTGTAGACTCTGCATCCTATAAAGGGATCTTTGGGGAATCTTTGATTGACATATGTGATGAAGCAGACTTTGTCTTGTCTAGTTGCCTTTAAGTTTTTTTCTCTTTTCCAGTTCAGTGCATGATTATGGACCCAAGTCTTAATTTATTCCTCTTTTGTTAGGAACATGGTGCGGTGTTGAAGCTTCAATTTCTGAAAAATCATTTCCTCTTGGCTACCATAAACAAATTGGGGCAGCTTCATTATCAGGATGTCACCACAGGGCAAATGGTAGGCAACTACAGAACTGGTCATGGTCGTTCAGATGTTATGCAGGTCAATCCCTTCAATGGGGTGGTTGCAGTTGGTCATTCCCGTGGAACGGTAAGCATGTGGAAGCCCACCAGTGCTGCTCCTGTGGTCAAGATGCTGTGTCACCAAGGACCTGTTACAGCTTTGGCATTTCATAGTAATGGCCATCTGCTGGCAACAGCTGGTATGGAGAGAAAAATCAAGCTCTGGGACTTGAGGAAGTTTGAGGTCCTCCAGACTTTGTCCGGTCATGCCAAGACCTTAGATTTCAGTCAGAAAGGGTTGCTTGCTGGAGCAACTGGATCATTTGTTCAAATTTGGGGGGATCTAGCTGGATCTCAGAGTTATGACCGCTATATGGGTCATTCAATGGCAAAAGGGTACCAAATAGGAAAGGTTGCGTTCCGACCGTATGAAGATGTTTTGGGCATTGGGCACTCCAAGGGCTGGTCTTCGGTCTTAATTCCTGGATCAGGAGAGCCCAACTTCGATACTTGGGTGGCGAATCCATTTGAAACTCCTAAACAGCGGAGAGAGAAGGAAATACATTCTCTTCTTGATAAACTCCCTCCAGAGACAATCATGTTGGATCCCACGAAGATTGGTGCAGTGAGGCCTACAAGGAAGAAAGAAAAGCCAACCAATCCGGAGAGAGAGGCAGAGTTGGAAGCCGCGGTTGCTGCTGCTAAAGATATTCCTATGAAGAAGAAAACAAAAGGTAGGAATAAGCCAAGTAAAAGAGCAAAGAAGAAGCAGGAAGCTGTAGAAAAAGCTAAGAGGCCCTTTCTGGAACAGGCAGCGAAAGAAGAGGAGTTGTCTAAAGAGAAGAGGAAGCGAATCAGCGAGGAAAATGAATTACCAAAATCTTTACAGCGGTTTACCAGGAAGAAAGCAAAAGCATAATCGTGGGCAAATTTTGTTGCTATGATCCATCACCACCATATCTAGAGACAAGGTCAAATTTGTTGTATTATATTGGGCCTGTTGAGTTGGGTCTCATCAATTTTGAGGTGTATACGAGTTTTCAGTAATTTTGCAGGCTTTGTTTTCTTCTCAAGTGAAAGCGAAAGGAATAATGATCTCTTGCTGAAGTTAAACCGAAATGAATTATAATTATATAGGCAGTTGTCTACAAACAAGATGGCCCTGAAAATGGTCGAGGTTTTGTTCGCAAGAGAGATGCTTAATAATTATATATTAGGTCGTCGACTTAAATGTCCTGTAGTACTAGTGGTTTGCAAGAACAGGGGCTCTCAGGCGCTGATTGAGCAGGGGTTCAGATGTTGATTTTTTGGAAATATTCAAATTGAATTTGACATAATTGTTGTGTAGATTAAATAGAATGTTCATCTTGCCTGCCAAGTGCTAACAATAATATTAGATGGGACACTATGGCAAGAGCATTATTTATTAGATGCATCCATTTTCTACCCTATGCAGCCCGAGCTTGCTGGCCAGCCGGCCTCCTCTTTTTTCCGTTCGTGGTAAGGCCCCCACTCTACACCATGACGACTAGAGCATATTAGATGCATCCATTTAAATAGCCTGATTTATTAAGCACCCTATGCATCCCGCGTCTGCCTCCTCTGTCTTCCGTTCCGTAAGGCTAAGGCCCTAGAGTACGCCTACCTCACATTAGAAAGTCTTTTAGGTTAGAACCTCTAAGCTTCCAAATTAATTCATGTCCAGATTTACAAATTTTTAAGTTCGTGTTTGAATTGAAGGATTTGGATGGATTTGATTTCAATTCCTCCACTTAAATCCCCTCGAGTGTTTGAATAACTTTGGAAGAATTTTCTTCAAAAATTTTATAAGTAGTTTTTTTTTTTTTTTTTTTTGGTTCATCCTTCTTTATACATTTCTTATTTTCAACTGTCGTCACATGATTCGAACCCTGAAACTAATAGGGAAAAAGACTCTAAGAGTCCTCAAATGAGTGAATTTCAAATTTACTCAAAAGCCTAACATGTCATTTCAAATCTCTTTTACTTATTTCTGTCTACATTAACGAATCCATCCTTTCATGCATATAGATCGAAGAGTTAAATGCTGATTGTTGCTTGTCGCTATCAATTACTAACAACTACTCCCTCCGTCCCACTTTGATAGTCCTGGTTGTTTTTTCACACAGTTTAAGAAAAAGCAGTTAACTTTGTTAGAACAATCAATTTAGGTAGTAAACCTAAATTGATTACTAACAACTATTAGTTATCGCCGTTGGTCAAAGTTAAAGAAAAAAAAATGACCTTGATTCAAAAAAACCTGTACGTATATTGACAGTTAATTTGCCCAAAAAAACACTAGTGACCAAAGGTGGAGCGGTCGATCTGAAATAGTAGGAGGGATGTAAACACACGAACGGAGGAGAAAGGGAAAATGGAAATCTAACTATTAACCCCTAAAGTTTACAGGGGGTATTCAATCTTTACCCCTCATGCTTACCTTAAATATAAATTCCTTTCGTAATGTAACAACTCTTAGCCAAACAATAATGACTTTGGATTAAATATGAATTTTAAAACCACTCATTTCAAATCCATTCATGTTAAATACTTGGACAGCGAGCCTCGATTTTTTGCACCATTCAGGAAACAAGACTTATAAACTGGGTGCTTTGGCATTTAAAAGTTTATGATTATTTTATCTAAAATCTCAATTTTAGTTTCTTGGTGTATTATGATAATTATATTTATGATTACTCATCTACAAATTTGATATCGATTTGAAAGTCACCATGTTACGTATAAGATTACTTATATAATTTCTAAATTTAAATTGAAATCTATCAGGTCAATTATGTAACGATTCTTGTTTTTTGTAACACTATATTAAATCCATCAAATTACTAATTTATTTATCAGATAAAATAAGAGTAAAATTTTTAATGAATAAGTGGGTTACCATCTCTCTATGGCTTTGTTCCATAAAGTACTCCAGAGATTCTTTGACCAAAGTAATTGTGATTACTTTAGAGTGGGTTGAATGGGTAATACCAATTATGGGTTGAATGGGTAATGCCATAAATTACTATCTATTTATGGTTTTCCTCCATAAAGTACCCATTTTCTCATAAACTAATTTATTAATTGGATAAAATCAAAATAACATTATTACTAGTGTACAAGCATGCTTTGACACCCTCTTTAAAGAATCGTAAACTAGAAGGTAATCGCAATTACTTTGCAGAAGCATTCTTTTTGACAAACTACAAGTAATCAAACCCAAGTGTTATGAAGTTACCAAAGATTGCTGATAAAACAAATTGAAATTTACCGAAGAACAAAAACGAGGCCCTTTAGAGGACAGGGGAAGCTCGTCTAGAAAAATTGGGAACTATCAGAAATTTTGTCGCCTGGGAGCTGCTTCCCAGTTGATACGAATTTTTGGGTGCAAACAAGTGCCCATAAATTGTTGAGGGGTTTGCATTTTATTTCTTCTAGAAATATAATGGACCCATAAACAACCGCTTCTACCCGATATCCAGTAGCTCATTTAATAGCTACATCGTGCCCGGCCCCACAATGATGTCTTGGCCAAATTTCTTTTTGCTCTTCCCACCATGCACAGTTGAGTCAGCTTTCCACCGTAGATGAAACCCTTAAATATGCCCTTGAAGTGCAAAACTTAAAAACTTACAAGATTAGGACAGTTTCATAATTCAATTCATTATTTAAATTTAAAAGAATCAGATCTTAATATATTTAATTCATTCGATAACTAAAAATTGAATATCTGAAATAATTAAATGACACTAAATTTTCTAGATAAAATTTACTTTCAAAATTAAGTAATAAACTATTCATTTATAATTGAATGTGATATACACTCAAATATATTATATAATTTATAATATACTCAATTTTCATACTTCAATTTTATCAAACACACCCTAGGTTTATCTAATTATTCAAACTTCAATTTTCATACTTCAGTTTTATCATTTAATAAATTCAAACTTCAATTTTCATATTTCAATTTTATCAAACACACCGTAGATTTATCTAATTATTCTTTTCTGGTCCAGTTCATTCATTTTTTCACTAGGGAGCGGGCAAAGAAGAGAAAGGGTAAAAAAAAAATAAAAAAAAAATTGTTGACCAGCTAATTCGTTGAACCCACCCCAATTATTTTCGAAAAATAATATAATTCGCATTTTTTGACCTTGGCAGAGGAGGGTCGACCAGTCACCACTACGGGACCGAGCTAAGGTTAGAGGTTTGAGAACTCGTGAATACTCGATCTGTCCTGCATATTCCTTAATTTTATACCTACACATGACAAAATATATAATTATCTAGAGACAACTAATTGTGAAAGTCTTTAATTATTTTACAAGATTTATTTGTAGAAGTCATGACTTTTTTTTTTCTTGGATTAAGCTTAGTTGATTTAAAATTTGTTAAAAAGGGTAATACACATCACATTTAGGTTTTGGTTGAAATTCTTATCTTATTGAATTCATTACGCCTGATGTTTAAACTTCATATTTGGCTCATAAATATTTGACTAAGAATATTGAAATTGAGGAACAATTTTAACTCTTTATCGAGTTGTAATGGAGATTGTATAATGAACTGTGATTTAATTTTATTAGTTTTAGATGCTTCTTGTTTTCTTAAAAAAATTAGATACTTGTTTGCAGGCACGATTTTTAAAAAAAAAAACACTAAAATCTGTGTTGATTGTTAAATGAATATATGAAATACAAGATGAAATTGATAATTATGTTTTTTTTTTTAAATTAAATGATGGCCCCGGCCACCTATAAGAAGCCAACCTGCCTCCAGATATTGTTGGGAAAGCTAACTGGCAATTCTTAGTACTTACCACATCAGTGAAAAAAATAATACTAGTAATAGTAGTAAAAAAGAAATTTAGTGCAAAGAAAGAGAAGTCGGAAATGGCGATCGGAACCAAAGTGAGCGTGGGTGTCATGGTCGCCGCCTCCTCCCTCGCCAATTGCAGAACCACTTTATCCTTGGTTCAGTTCCACCTTCCACTACTCCGACCCCGCCTGCCGTCGGCTGGGCCCTTACACAACCTCCCTCTAGCTCACGTTTCCAATCTTATCAAGTCTGGTTATTGCATTCAAACTTCTCAGGAGAAAAATAACTATACTCGTTCGTGTAAGCAACGCGCTTTTTTCGGAGACGGCGGCTTGGAGCTGCACGATGCCGGAGCCACGGCTTTGGTTGTCGCCGGAGCTTACACTCTCGTCTCGACTTTTGATAAACTCACCTCCGCAAATCTCATCCAACAGGTTTCTTTTCTTTTTTGTGGTCAAGGAAAATAATTGCCAGTATATATATATATATATATATATTTTTTATGTCTTCGTAGTTATTCTGTACACAGTTTGTTTGTTGTTTGTACGCTGGAAAAAAAAATCAAATTTTGGATAATGACGATAACAAACTTGTCATTACAAAGTTTTAGTACGAGCAAATTACCCGAAAAGCCATTAAGCTTTTTAAATAATTGAGTTTTGATCACCCAGTCTTTACGAATATGTATTTATCCATTAACCTATTAGAAGTGTGAATATTGAATCACTCCGTATATTTATATATTTTTACCGTTAAGTCTTAGATCTGGTAGACGGTGAATATGTAAAAAGCCACGGATTGGAAAGTGCTAGATCTAAGACTTAACAGTGGTTTCCACCCCTTATCAAAAAAAAAAAAAAAAACAGTGGTTTCCACAGACAAAATGGCGAAATTTTATACTTTTAATGGTTCAGTGAGTAAACACGATCTCTGAAAAATTGAGTGGTCAAAGCTCTATTATTGGAAAAGTTTAATAACCGCCGGGATAATTTGCTCTTTTAGTATTGATATCATCGTATCAGGCTGTGTGTCCCGTGAACCCAAAAAAGCGCGACAGGAAGTGCACTTGAGGCAGCGACTGGTTGACCCAGAAGAATACATAAAAAGCAGTGAATGATATTTGGGTAAAGGTCACGAACGATTGAATGAGGATGGCTCGAGGAGTCATCCGATGCACTTTAGTTTAGGAGGCTAAAATGAGTGCTAGATAGCTTTTGCAATTTCACCTGGCTAAGAAAATGGTGGAACCTACTCCTCCAAGTTTTGAATAATAATAAGTAGACACTATAGATGATGATCACAGTTTTGTTTATGTCTTTCAAACGTTGCCTATTTTCATCAGAAATTATGTAGACTATTGTTGGTTTTAATTGAATTGCAGGAGTATAGAAGTTGACTGCTCAGAGGTCGACTACCATTGATGACAGATTTTCTTCTTCCTGTAATTTCTTCTTATTCCCGTGAGAAAACACGTGAAAGAAACAATTTAGATCCGAGATAACCACAACGAGGGCCATAATTATCGCTCTATTCAGAAATTAAAGACAAAAAATTACAAGGAAACAACGGTTCACGAACTCAAAATCTTCGGGAACATAATGCTGTGTCAGAGTCACAAACTCAAAACACATTGCTCATTGTATATCTACAAGGACAAATCAGTTTACAAATGTGAGGCAAAAACCATCTTATGAGGCCTCGTCTTCAAAATTTTCCCCTGAAGGCTAGTAGAGCAGCAAATGTAGAACTGAAATTGATTAGAAACGGGCACATAGGGAAAACTGAAAGAACAGGGAGAAGATCGTGGTTTCTTGAAGAAGGAAGGGAAAGAGAGATGGTTTGAGGTTTGTTGAAGGAAGAGGTGTGGGGATGACTTTTGTGGTGAAGGGAAATTTCATGTTTTAGGAAACTCAATAGCTACTGAGGGAGTGTATATGAGCATTAGTTTATTTGAATAAAAGGCATTCCTGCATTATTGGCCACAATCATCGGAGTCAAGAACGTGTCTTATTTCTTCCATTAGACATGGGGCAGTTTGGATAATGGTTTATTTAATTTCCAACTGTTTATTGTAATACTCGAAATTACTTGCAGACTTCATATAATGAAATGAAAGAATATGAACTGCAATTGGCTGCATTTGTTTGCCGGTTTTATATCGTTTCCATCTTTCTGACAGAATTTGAGCCGAAAACTGGTCCACATACTGTCTGGATTGCTCTTCATGGCTTCCTGGCCAATGTTCAGGTTCTGACATTCCTCACAATACTAATTACATTATATAATGTTCTCCACAGTCAACTCCTGTTATTGTTGAATACTTCTGCTGATTATTTACATCTTAGATTAGCACATCCACAGGAGCTCGTTACTTTGCTTCGCTGGTGCCCCTCATAAACTGCTTAAGGCTTATTGTCTATGGCCTTTCATTGGCTAAAGATGAGGGACTCGTAAACTCTGTCACTCGAGAGGGGAAGCCTGAGTAATTTTGCAGCCTTGTTTCTGTATTCCTTCTGAGACACATTACGAGTAAATAATCAGACCTTATTTACATATTTCTAGTTTCCATGCAGGGAATTGCTTCGAGGTCCCCTTTATTATGTTATGATACTAATTTTAAGTGCAATATTTTTCTGGCGTGACTCTCCCGTTGGAGTGGTTTCAGTGTCAATGATGTGTGGTGGGGATGGTATGAGCCAAACCTATATCTAATCTAGATCCTCAGTACTTCTGGTGTCTTCCATCTGACAATGTGATTTGTAGGCATTGCCGATATCATGGGAAGGAGATTTGGATCCTTAAAACTACCTTACAATCAACAGAAGAGTTGGGCTGGTAGCCTCTCCATGTTTGTATTTGGTTTCTTGATTTCTATTGGGTGAGTTGCAGCATATCTTTTGGTAATGTGGATTTGCATTGCAAGCTATCTTGCATTTATGGTTTTGACTGATGACTTTCTATTCCCTTGTCTTTGTAGGATGCTGTACTACTTTTCAGCCCTTGGATGCTTTCAGTTGGATTGGAGCTGCACGGTACAAAGAGTTGCCTTGGTATCCTTGGTAGCAACACTGGTGGAGTCCCTCCCAACTACAGGAATAGTAGATGATAATATCTCTGTTCCTATAGCAAGCATGGTAACTGCGTTTTTGAGTTTTGGTTACTAGCTGGTCAGAGAGAATACTGTGTTACATGCGTGTCATAATTTTTCTGTTGGCACTTCAAATACTTCCCTTTTCAATATTTCCTGTTTCGTTTTTTTACTTTCTGGTGCATATTTTTCTTATGTTTTAACCTCGAAATTTCCTTAGCTCATTGTATTTGGGAACAATAAAGAAGAAAAGGAGTAATGGTTGGTACCTCCTTATTTGAAGATTGCTATGCTGAAAGCTAAGCAAGGTGCATCTAATATAGCAACAATCATAACATTGGATTAACCGAATCAAACAAAGCACTTGCTTCACTCTTCTATTTGATACTGGATGCTAAGATAGTATCGCAGTATGCACAAACTAGTAAGCCGTTTGGATTGCAAGTTTATGGGGGGTTTTTGTTAAAAAAAAAATACTGTAATAATGTGATGTAAGTGAGGCAAAAAGGCGATTGAAAGTTTTTCGCAATCCAAACGAGGCATTATATGAGGATCTTGAGGGTACATTGCGCCTAGGGTAATTACGTGCTTCTAGCGTTCTTGCCAAGAAAAACTCTCGACTCCAGATTTGTGCCTACTGGTAGGACTGGAGGCCAAAAACACGAAGAAAACAACAAATGGATGAAACAAGTTTAGACCGATCAAATTTCATTGAGTAACTGGTCACCTGGGCAAGAAATAAAACCAATTGGAGTCTTTTAAAAATCTGATGGATGGACTCCAAGCACACCTATTTCAATTTTGTTCATGTGTTTTCATGTATGGATGGACTCCAATTATCGTTCATCTGTTTTCATGCAATAAAATTGGCAATTTAATTGCAAACTTGTGACTTTTTTAGAAATTTTTTTTTTCGCTAACATTAATACTACAAGTAGCCCTTTATTTTTTGGAGAACAAATCCTTGAGTCAAGACTTAAGAGGACTGGTAGAAATGAGAAGGCAGGCGGGGCCTAGCAATCGCCACCAGGGGAATGGCCTTGGGCATGGTCATGCCATAAACCTCACTGGTATCAATGTCTTGAGGTCTCAATCCATCAGCTGGCCTCCAATCGAAGCAATGAAACAGCCGAGCCAATGCCATTAGCACCAGCGTCACCCCCAGCGGCGCCCCGGGGCACTTCCTTTTCCCAGCACTAAAAGGCAATATCTTGAAGTCGGATCCGTGGCTTATTTCCACTCGGCTCCCATCTCCTGTTAAATGCCTCTCCGGCCTGAATTCTTCCACATCGTCCCATATCTTGGTGTTCCGTCCTAGGCCGTGCGTGTTGATGAAAACCCGTGTCTTGGCAGGGATGTGGTATCCGTTGATCGTGGTGGCTCGAACTGACTCATGCGGAATGAGAAATGGACCGGCCGGGTGCATTCGAAAAGTTTCACGTACAACGCATCGTAGGTAATTTAGGTGGGCTAAATCAGATTCTGTGACCATCCGATCACGTCCGACTACGGTATCAAGCTCTTCTTGGATCTTCTCGAGGACGGTTGGATGTTTGATGACTTCTGCCATTGCCCATTCATTGGTGACAGCAGAAGTATCGGTAGCAGCAGCTATCATATCCTAAGCATTCAAAACCGTTTTGACTTAGAAATCATGTATATATATATATATATAAAGATTGTCATGGCGGTCATATAACTTGGAATGGAAAGAATTTGTAGCAGGGAAACATTTGATTAATTTTCAGTGGATTGCTGATAATATTCAATTACCAAACAAGATTTGTAGAAAGAATGCCTTTACTATTTGTGCAACGTAAAAAGAGGGTGGCGATAGTAGATTTCTATACGATCATGAAGTATTTGTGATGGATGATCAAAGGATATTAGTACTCAACCTGAATCAGTGCTTTGATGTCCTTATCATCTAGGTGTGCTTCTCCATCTTCACCTGCCAAAGACAATAGCACGTCAACAAAGTCAATCTCTGCCTCATCTTTTACTCCTTCAGTTTGCAATTTCTTTCTATGTTCTTGAATGATCTTTGAGTGAAAATCATCCACCCTCTTTTCTACTTCCCTCATTTTCCTCTCACAACCATAAGGGTCTATCCACCTCCAAAACGGCAGATAATCTCCCAAATAAATCAAGCCCAAGAGCCAAAACAATTCGTGCGTTATGTGCATGAACTCCATTGCCTCTTGTGGTCCAGCTGATTCTTCCCCAAAATATTGCTTTCCGAGCAGCATTCTAGTCACGTTATTCATGGAAAAAGCACCCAGAACTTCCCTCAGATTTATTGGTTCTTCCTTGCGGGCCTTGCTCCAAACATCTTCAACTAGATGCTGAGCTTCATCGGCCCGATGCCTTGAAAATGACTCGAGTCTTTTTGTTGTCAGTAGATGTTCCATGCAAATCCTCCTCATTCTCTTCCATTTCGGGCCTAGCGGAGCCAATGCCACGTCTCCACAGCCATAGGCCAGGTGAACAGCTGCAAGAGTCCTCGGCCGAGAGGCGAATACATCGTCCTGATGGACAAGGATTTCGCGTATAATATCGGGATCGTTGGTGGTGATGGCATCAATGCTCCCTAGTCGAAGGTACACTAGAGGTCCGTATTTCTGACACAAAGAAGCCAAGTCCCTATGTGGTAATTGACTCAACTGAAGAAGGTTGCCGATAATCGGCCAACCGGGAGGGCCTGGTGGAAGCCTTCTAGAATTGTTTGATATTCTGAACCAAGACTGAAATACATATGCAAGAAAATGTAGGCACAGAATAATGTAAATTAAGGTGATTAGATCCATCGGTGTTCTCAGGGAAGGTACCTCAAGGGGCAATTTCCCAGAAGTTGAATAAGTACGAGTGGTACATGATGTAAGGTTTAATGAGACAAAATGAAGTTAAAAGCGTTGTTGGTTTCTACATGTTCTTTCTGCCTGATGAGGCATGTTGATATTAGGAAGATGACACAGGCGGATTAGTTAGACCATCACATTGGCATGGCCTGATCATTTCTTGGTATTTAATTGAATGACGAGGCAAATTAACGAGTTAAAAATCAAGTTTTCGTAATGTTTACTCCTAATTCGGAAGCAATAACATTTGCATGGTTCCTTAACCGCTTAGATATAGGTAGTTTTCTTGCAGGAATAAGAAGTTTGGACTGTCATACAAGTTTCTTTTCCCACGTTCACAGCGTATAGATTATAGACATGAACTCTTCTGACAGAATTACATATAGCGCACATTTTGCTTAAAAGCAGCTGGGCTTTCGCTTCCTCTTCTATCTCTGCTCACCTAAGTCGATCAACTTTTGAGGGTTCCTCAGCCAGATGCTGGGAAGAGAAGAAATCCTAAAGGGCAGCAACTGGATGGGACAGGCCAAAAAAGGAAGAAAAAACATTTCAAAGAACGATATGTAAAGTTGGGCCGATGGGATGGGAGGTCAAGAATTCAAGCACAATCTCTTTGATCATGATAAATGGACCATCTACATGTTCTATTTCGCCAGTCCAACTTAAGTAATTTTCTTTGTTACTTTGAAGCCTTTTCCAAGCATTGAAAAGTTTTGTGCTTAGTGAAAATTTAATTAAACATTTGTAAATCCAAAAATAAAATGGACATTTTGGATTTTGGACTAATCCTTGTAACATTTAGCCTGTTAACTGGTTAAGACCTCGTTTGAAATTGCGGTGATTTATAAAGAAACACTTCTGACACAAGTATTTTTAACAAAAGTACTTTTAAATTACTAAACACTGAACAATTGAAGTTACAAAAAATTAGTTATGAAACACTTTAAAAATACTTTTAATACTTAAAAGTGCTTTTTTTTTTCTTTTTTCTTTTTTAAATGCACCGCAAACTCAAACAACATGGCCTAAGACTTAAGACACCCAAGACCGACCAAGCCAAAATTCAATTAATTACTACTAGAGAGTTACACAGTTCTGAAACTTTGTTGGATCCCAAAGCAATAAGATGAAAAAAGTGGGGCCGTAAACGAATGTTGACGATCGTGTCTCCTGATCAGCACGTGCGATTGGCATTTTCGAGAATCTCAGAAAAGGGGTGACCCCTTTTTGGCCTTTTCTCCGCCACGTATAAAAACCCCAAAATATCACTTACTTTGTCAAAAAAAAAAAAAAACCATTACTGGTTGCTCATCAAAACTAGCTCTCCTTCATCAGAAACTAGAATCTCCATCTCACTTCACTGTACTGGAATTCTGGAAAGTGAACTCTACTAGACATGAACTGTCTCCAGAATCTTCTAAGGTTCCACTTCATTTCCACGCTTTCTTTCAGTTCATAATTATTTCGTAATTCCGGTCTGATCAATTCTCACTCGTTTGAGATTTTTTTTTATTTCGTTAATTTTTGGGCAGATTTTCTGCTTTGCCTTTGCAAAGCTTTAATAGAGGTCATACCGGAAAATCTTCGTGCTCAGTTAGCATCACTGTAAGATTAGTCTGCCACTAACGAAGCAAGTAGGAATATATAGAAATTTAGATTGATATATGTACAGTTGCATTCTCAGTTTGAATTTATTGCTTTCTTGTGTGCAGATGGTGCCGACAGCTCCGCAGTTTCGGCATAATATTGTGGGAAAGGTAATTTTTGAATGAGCAGATTAAAGAATTGTGCGGTTTGTTTGTTGGTGATTAAGCTCAAGTAATTGTAAACTTTTAAATGTAGATCATGTAATTTAGATTCATTGGTGTATAAATTAGAGTATGGATTTCGACGTGTATTATTGTATCCTCTTCAGTCATAGGAAGGACTGTATGTTAAATTGTAGATTCTTCTTTGCAAACGTAAAAGAAACTTTTCTTGAGCTGAAAATGTTCCTATGAATCTTGCCTTTATAGTTAACATCTGGTTTTTCACTTCTTTTTTCTGCAACTTGTGTGGATGAACGGAAGTGGCACTGGGTATTTGTTGTTTCAGCTATTACATCTAAGTTGTGTTCAGCGTACTTTTGCACCTTTTTTAGGTTCGTGAAATTTGACATGTTCATCTGCTACTTATAATTCTTAGTTGTGGTTTCAGTTTTAAGTTTTCTTTGGTGCCTCTCCATTCTATTATGTGACCTACCTTGAATTTTTATTTTTCTTAATCTTTCAGGTAAAAAAAAAAAAAAGAAATTTTTTGTGTCATATACTCATTACTTGGAGTAACTTTGACACGGTTTTGTGGCCTCATCAAATACTGTGCTTGATAAGCTCTATACCCTGCCCTTATTGTACTGAAATTGGGGATAATG